AACCGCTGGGCTACATCATGTGTCATTCACCGGTGAGAAAACTTTAAAAGTACTACAATACCAGGAAGGAAGATCGGGTTGTTGATGTTTGTCTGCCATTCTCGCTCTGTCTGCTCAGCGTGCGTGAACGCGCTGATGACGTATCCTGTCTGCGCGAACCCGGTGCGCAGAGGTATGCTAATACATACGTTGACAGGCAGGTAGAAAAGCCCATTAAAATGCTCGGACCGAGCGTTTTGATTGGACGAACATTTCTTGATCCTACGCCTTCCACAGAATATATAAATACAGACAAATACATTTAGACCACTTAACTTAATGATTGCTATCGGGATGTGAAGAGACTTTCAACCAGCATAACAAAAAAATGTTTCTGAAGACAATCACCTATTGCACCTTTAAGAAATTGACCAACTTCATTATGAAAGGTAAAACAAGGTAACGTGTGGAAATTGAAAGTCATCATTTATCGTAAAAAAATTAGAAACAAATTTAATAAAATGTCTATAAACCTACATTGTGTACAATAAAATAAAACATGACATTTTCATTTTGAACCCAGCCAGATATCATAGTGATATACAGCAGTGCATTCTGGGCAATGAACAAACACTCTATAAATAAATCACAAGTACACAGCTGATAGTTATGAACTTTATTGAAAGCATCAAGCTCTTATATCAAGTACAGATATATTCAGCACATCTTGACCAACCAAGGAAATAGCAAGAGAATTGGAACAGCAAAGTTTCCCCTTCCTTCCCAACTTCATGTGAAAATCCCGTGACAGAATCCTTTCTATAGTTTCCTTACCAACCAACACAGGCTGGGCAGAGCTAGTAGAAAGAGGGAAAAAAGGTCCAAATCATCTGAAAAGGTCACTCCTCACCTCAGAACAGGGTCCGAAAACAAACAAAAAAGTAGTATATATATATATATATATGTATATATGTATATATGTATATGTATATATGTATATATATATGTATGTATATATATATGTATATATATATATATGTATGTATGTATGTATGTATGTATGTATGTATGTATAGATAGATATACTTGGTCCCCCTCCACTCATGTATACTGTATAAATCCCACATAGAAAGACCAGAAAAATGTTTGAAACCACCACCCCTTCACCGGAAAAATACTAGGTGTGATATGCGATCATGCTCATGTTATTTCTCCCAGCAGTGGTCTACGTCTGACACCAATATTGTCCGTTAAATCAAATTTAATTGCTTCGTCTTTTTTCTCCCTCTGAACTACAACTGTAAACATCCAGCTGCCCTTTGACCTTTCAGAAGGCTTTTAAGACGCATTCGTTACTAGACTGGCGTTCTGTAGAGAGACCTGGCCTTTTCAGATTCTCTCAGCGGCAGGACCTTCTAGTAAAGAAGATTTCACGAACCCATCTGCCACTACGAAGGAGATGTAACAAAAACATCATCATCCTCCTCCTCACAACTACACCAGCTGCGTAACTCGGGAGGGTAAAAACCACACCCACCGCTCATCACACTCAGGACCTATGAGCAAAGTTTGTTACGTCGTACGAACAGAAATTAAAAGTGTTACAAAGGGCTGAAGCGGAAACATCCTGCTTGTACGCTAGTCGCATGCAATAGCACACGTGAAATTTTTTTTACATTTTTTTTCTCAATGCACAAAGAGAGCATGATCTGGAGAGGTGTACAAATCTACTGCAAAAAAAGGGAATTAATAAAACTGCACTTTATGCAGGCGTGGGGTGTGGAATGATCCGGGTCAGCCCTGACATGCTCAGATCAGTGCGCGCCTATTGTGTGCTTACTGTAGAAAAAAAGAGAGAGGACTCATTTTGTTTAGAAAAAGAAAAAAATGCTTTGCTGTGCGATCGGCACACTAAAGCAAAGTGTCTGTCCAAACGTTTCAATTCAAAGGCGTGCATTAAGCAGGCTCTGCGCTGGACAGCCCCAGGGTCCTTCACCATTCCCTCTTCAATGGCTTCTTCTGCACTCGCTACATTATTCAGAAAAATCCATTCTTTATAGATCATATTGTCACGTTTCAACGAACTAATGTTTTTACTTTTAATACATTCATGTTAAATGCCATTTGATTTTGAGGAAAGGAAGACAACGGCTGACTTTCACCATAATGGTTATATATGGCAGAGTATATGTTGTTGACACTTAAGGCAACAGTTAAGTAACATTCACTTCTCTGTATTATTGAAACCAGCACGGTTTTCCAAAACAGCCCCTAAAAGAAGCGCAGGCTGTCGACATCGAAGTTCCTCAACTTCAACTCAACGCTCACTTCTCTAGCACACCGAATAAACACAGCTGCCTGCAGGGCTAAAAGATGGACGAGGAATATTTTAAGTTTGTTTTCAGGACTTCTTCACACACTGTCAGAGTAGTTAGCTAGCTACACACAGTTGAGCTGAACACATGCTGAGCGCCGAAAAATGACCAACGCCATGTGTGTTAAAAGAAATGAAATGCAAGTCAACCAACCTCTTCGCACACTGATGAGCTCGCGTCGGATCTGAGCGTGTCAGGGTCCTTGTCTAGTGAGGTCGGAAACCCTGTCTGTGGGAGATGCGAGGGGACACTTGCAGGAAGGGAAGGGAGCATTGCATGTACTGGGATGATGGTGTGACATGCCTCACACACACCACCACCGCCATGTTCAAGAACCCTACATGCACTTCAAGATCACAGCAAGAATGGGCTAGAATATCTACAGAGACACGAGAAGAGCTTTCATGCACGATATCTACGTCACAGGTACAAGTATGCATAAACGTTAAACTCGGGGAAGATCTACAGCCAGAAGACTCCACGCACAAACGCCGCCAGCCACACGGTTTCTTTTTACGCTTCTTCATTTCGGAGGTTCAGCTCTGCTTCTGCTGGCGATTCTTGGTGTAACTGGTGAAGACGAAGTTGTAGTCGTTGAAGTGTGCCGACTGGCGGTCCAGGACGCGGTATCCCTCCAGCTTCTGAGCCGAAGAGAAAACGCTGCGACATTTGGAGATCTGTTGGGAACGAGATAAACCAGAAGAATGAGTTTGACGGTCACACCTTACTTTAAGGTCCAATTCTCACTATTAACAAACCATTAACTATGACTTTGCCTCAATAAACTCCTAATTTGCTGCTTATTAATAGTTAGTAAGGTAGTTGTTAAGTTTAGGGTATTGGGGAGGATTAGGGATGTAGAACATGCTCATGCAGAATATGTGCTTTATAAATACTAATAATGTTAAGAATTTTATACCACATATGCATTATTTTTGCTACAACTGCACTGCACTGCAATTAGAAGGCCAGAGGCTGGAATCATTGCACACCACCTTCAATGTTACATAAATATTCATAGCAATCAATTCACAAGTATTATAATATATCTAATAATAAGTTAAAAAAATCACCTTTATTTTAAGGTGTCCTTGTTCCACGTTACATGTACTTACTATTATAATAACACTTAATTATGCATAATTACATGCAAGTAACCCTAAGCCAAACCCAGTAAGTGCATGTAGTTAATTAATATAACTCAGTACTTAAATGCATAATTACACTGGAACAAGGACACCTTTTTTTTCCAGAGCAATGAGGAAAAAGTTGCGGAAGTACCTGTTTGAAAAATAATCTTTTGTTGATTAGTTGTGTAATAATGTACCTGATTGACGAAAAGCGTTGTCACAAATTTCCCTGGTTTGAAGACATCCACGACTTTGCGGATAAGCTCGTCATAAGACGTCTGGGAGAGGTTGGTTTCAAAGCTGACATAGGAGAACTCTGGTTCGGGGGTGATGTGAATCGTCCAGTAAGTTCCCTAGAAAGACAACCGACCTCAATCACGCTGCAGAGCACAGAGCAACTTTCTCACAACAACAAAAACATGCAGCCTTAAATGACTCCTTACATCCGTTTTCATTCCATTCATGGAGTATCCACAAGGGTTGAACATTGTGGCATCAATCACTGAACCTGGAATCAGGTCACGAATTCCACTCATCTGTGAAGACACCACAGATAACCTTAAAGACACCTCACTAAATAAAGAAATAAATGGAGTGCATAAAGTACTAACATGATACATTGGTACTAGTAAATGGACCAGCATCCAGCAATAAGAGCACACATGACACTACAGAGCAGAAGCATAGAGGACGGATCGTACACGAGTGACATCATTAGCAGAAACACCGTCTTTCATGAAGAACTGGTCCATCACAGCCGGGTCGAGGTCACTCATCAGAACTTCTAGTGTCTGGTCCGCCTGCTTGTTCTCCCAGAACTCCGGCAGCTCCAGCGTAAACAGATACCTTCAGGACAGGAAGGAGAACAACGCCACAGAAATGGACAACAGATGATGAGCTTTTTTATTTTCCCCCCAAAAGAACTAAATTAAAAAAATTATCATTTATGAACAATTTAATCATTTATGAAACGTTGGCATAAAAAAAACAGACTTTACAATGCTAAAGTCTGGCCTTATTTAAAAGAGAAAAAATTCTGATACATATGCAACATTTATGGTGGTTTATCTGAAGTCAGATGGATTGTAGGAAGTCTAGATGAAGTAAAACGGCTCACCAGCAGTCTGAGTTCAGACGTCCCATACAGTAGGCTGCTCCATCTGCGCATGAAGAAAAAAAAAACATTTTTTAATCAGACAATACTTCATTCATAATGTTCACATCACTATCTCATTTTTGCAGCGTACTTGGAAAAATCTGGCTGAGGAACTCGACTTCCTCCTGGAAGTTGCGGTGAGGGAACTCTTGATGGGTGGGCTTCATAAAATTTTTACGAGAATAGAAGAAATTCTAAAAGAAAATGAGATGAGGTCAAGTCACATTTTCATAAAGACACTTTGTACTGAAAACTGACAATGTATTGATATGATGATGTGCCATAAATTCTTGCCTAAACATGCACCGGAGTGTGTGTGTGTGTGTGTGTGTGTGTGAGTGTGTGTGAGAGAGTGTGAGTGAGTGTGTGTGTGTGT